TGAGGATGTGATTCTGCGGACAAGTTGTATGCCTTTCAGGGCTTGGTTTCCTGAATTAACATTCCCCAGTCTCCAGCTTTCCATGAAAATTGTTCCTTCAGCAGTTTTCTCCATGTCTCTGGAATAGTTTGGATCATCAGTTGTAGATTGCCTACTAAGTTACGACCACCAGTTGGTTGGGTCACAAGACTCACAACTCTTTCTCTGTCATCCAGTCACTCATTCCAGTTTTGGCTAACTTTCCAGATTGTTCCTTGGATAATCCATGATAACCATCAGTGGTCTTTATTGGTTAAGGTCCATGGATAATTGCCTTCACTCTTAAACCACCAGTTCACATGAACCCAAGTAGTGCTCTTACTGGTATACGGCAGATGTGGTTAACCGGGGTGTTTTTTTGGTGGAATTTTGCACTGAAACTGTCATATTGCCCTGATTTTTTGTTGTTTTTCTTGTTTTTCTTGTTGTGTGATATGTAGGTGCTGTAGAGTACGTCATGTGTCCAGTTTTGAGATGTTTGGATCATTAATGAAAAAGTTGGCATTTCGTTGGATTCGTTGAATGCTTCATTTCAACTCAGAGAGTGTTTTTGTGTTAATGTTTTATAGCAGTGCTGCAAACCCGGTAGGACCGGGGTCCCCTCCCCCAATGGAACTGGACCGGTCCTACCGGCCGGTTGACCGGGCCGGTTTCCCCCTGGTTGGCCGTAGCGCATCTTTTTTTTTTTTTTTTTTTTTTTGAAAGCCCAGGGTGTTGTAGAGGCCAAGAACTAAACCCCCGGTGATCGCTGGCAGCGGCAGCGGCAGCCGGTGGTTGTGCTGACAGGATAGGCCACCTTCCCTACCCTTCCCCACGTTAATGCTCCCAGTGCACCCCCTATCCCTACTATCCTACCTCAGTGTGACCAGCACTCAGGACCATCACTCTACCAGTATCGAGGGCAACTTGGACCAGACAGCAGTGGCAAGCACCCCCTAACACTATCACCCCCACCTCCCTTTTCAAAGTTTTCAGGTGGGGGAAGTGCCGTTCCTACCCTGCTACTAACATCCACAGTCCCCTTTTCAAAGTTTTTGGGCGGAAGGTTAACGTTTGCAGAAAGCCAGGTACGTTGTTGTCAATGTCTGCTGAAGCCCGTGCTTGCTGAAACCCCTCCACTAACACCCTCACCATAGACCCCCCAACCCCCGACCCTCAACCCCTGAAGTACACCCCCCCC